TCCATAGAAGTGAAAAAAAATTCACTTGAATCCCACCTTAATCTCCACATAAGTCAAATTTGTTTGTAATGTGCAAAATATTTCTGTCTAGCACAGGGGTGTAACGCAAAACTTTCCCCGTCAGTGAACTATCGTTTCCAAATGTGCCCCTTTCCACTCTGACCTCTGGAACAGCCCTAAATTCCTGATTACGTGGTATTTACACATTTTGACCAATTTTTCAATTAATTAAAGATGGGGGCGATTAGGGACACTGCTGACAGAGTTCCCAGGGCTCCTCTGGGATATCTTCAGCCTGAGGCTAAGATATAAATCCAGCATGCTGAAACTCAGATAGAGTAGAAGAGTCAGCATTTTCAGGGTGCCCGTCACTGTGAAATATAAAACCAAAAATCAATGTGTTGAGTGACACTTGCTGGTTGTCAAGTTAATGTGACACTGATAGTGGTGTAGCTTAGTGGTTAAACATCTAGGCCAGTAACTGAAAAACATTGTAGTTCAAGTCCCAGAAGGGGCAAATCAATAGACCATCATGACTGTGTCATTCAGGAAGGCATTTAACCTTAATCTAAGACGGGAATTACCCAATAAAAAGTGCATTGCTAATTGCTTAAGTACAGGCATCAGCTAAAATCCTAATCTCTAAAACTGGTGACAGGCACAGAGCTTGGTTAAAAGCACACATTGTACACAAAACTGACTCCTCACCTTCCAAAAGTAAAGGTTTTTTTTTTTTTAAAGAGTTTGTCTTAAGTTTGAGTTTTTTTTTTTTATCAGTTTTGTTCGAGGCTCTAAATAGTAAGTAAACGAAATATTCACAAGCAGAACTTTATAGAGAGAACTTTTTTTATAAATCCATTCAAACAACCCATTGACTTTGGGATGACAGAACCAGAAATGCACTGAAGCACTCTATATTCTGCTTTTTAATTTATGTCTGTAAAGTAATCAGTAATTTTTACTTTTGGAAGACAGATATTCTGATTAACCTTTAAAAAAAATAAACAAATAAATACCACATATTTTTGCATGCAGTCTGAGACTGCCGTATAGAGATTGCCAGAACATTATATGGCATTTGCACAGGACGCTGATCGCGTTTGGATGAGCGATCAGAACAAAAGCCTAAGTCATTGCCAGTTTGGTAATTAGTGTTTAGTAGGTGGGCTAAAGTTGCCATTCATCCTCAGCCAAAGGTGCCATGTTTCCAACAGGCGTTGCCACAGGAACACCAGCTGGTGCCGTGGACCAGCTGAACCTGGCTGACAGCCAAGAAGGCAGATGCACATGGTGACCTGTAAAGGCTGCTGGGATATCAGACACAGATTTACCCAGACAGCTGGGAAAATGGTTGGCAGGGACTGAAGGAAGGAAAGATATGAAGACAGAAAGTGGCACATTGAAAGACAAAGGAACAGATGGATGAGTTTCAGCAGGTAGTAAAACATCACCACATACCGGCACCAGCACCGATCAAACTGACCACCCTTTGCTAACCACTTACAATTATTCCCTGTAAAACTGGGGTGTACAATCCAGCTCCTGGAGGTTTAGCTCCAACCAGCCTGGAAGATTCTGATAATCCTGAAGACCTTGATTAGCTGGTTCAGGTGTGTTTGATTAGGATTGGAGCTAAATTCTGCAGGATTAGACAGCCCGGTCCTAAAATCATTCATTTAACTTCCACATTGTGACATTTCCAAATCAAATAGTTGAAATCCAACTTATTCAGATATAAAATATGTCATACTTCAACTGTACAACATCTGTAATAGTGGTCGGAAACATGTCAAATAAAACATTATAGTAGACCTTTACCAACCAGTTACATTTTTTGAGTATTGTTTTTATTGCCTGTATTTCCTGCTCTGTATTTTTTTACAGCAATGACAAAAGAAATCATATTTTTATTAAAGTTGCAAATTTGCAGCCTGAACTGAATGGGATTTTAAAAAATAAATAAATAAATGCAAATAAAAATAATAATAATAATAATAATAATAATAATAATAATAATAAGACAAGAAAATATATATTTGTATATCCTTGTGAGTCACAAAAACAACTATCACTCTTGCAGAAACATTAGTGAAACTTAAGCAAAATTCTGCAGGCGAAAAAGGTCCATTGCCTATTGGCAATAGAATAGTGAAGTATGAAGCACAGCTAAACTCACACAGAAGTCACTTTCAGACCAAGCAATTATCTGTTGGTCAACACAGTGAATCTGAGTCACCAATTTAAACCTGTTGCGAAATCAACATAGGGAAAACTTTTGCCCATACGCAAAAATCTCAATCATGTGGATTTCTATTGACTTGATTTCACCCACTAAAAATTAGCCAAACAATGGGAAACGTGACCACCCCTTTCTAAGCTGGTATATTTCATGAATTCAGAAAGACTTAGGAACTCAGAAGTTACTGGTTGGAATCAGTCTGATGAATCCTTCGGTGAACAAGCTCACCGAATCAATCAGACGTCATTACTTCCTGTGATGTCTGTCTTGAAATAAAGCAGATATTAAGCACTCAAGTGCTTAATAAACTTAAAATCAGTAGCACTATTGACTGGTTGTTCATACGCACAGTTAATTACCCCAGGAATTACTGAGTAATATCTGAATTAACCATGCGTTTAATAGTTTTAAATGTGTCATCAAAGGCCAACTGTACCATACAAATGAGCAAACTGTGAAATGGAGAGGCTTCAGAACCAAGGAATACAGCCATCATGCCCAATTAAAAAGAGAAAAGCCTCATTGCTTGTATGGAAGTGCCGAGAAGATATAATAGATCAAACAGGTATTTTTTTAATAATTAATAATGTTTTGTTCCATTGTTTCTGGTTGTTCACCCCTAATCTGTATCATCTGGGAAAGGAGTCTGTTTGACTTTAAAATGCAGTACTTTAAGCTCTGCTGGGTGATAAGCTTTATGTTGCCTTCAGATGGATGGCACAACATTAAAAAACGAGAGGCTTCTCACCTTTATCTTGCATAAGCAGAATAAGAACAGCACCGCCACTCCCAACCACAAAGTCACAGACAGGAATAGCTGACTTGGGTTAAAAATTCACTTAGCCTCTGCCATTGCTCATGATGCAGAAGGTGGCCCCTCAGTGATTGTCACCCTGTCTCACACAAGCTTCTTTCCCCCGCAAGCTCTTGATTAGATTATTTTTGCCTGTCCCAGGAGTGGCACGGCACACTCTAAATATTAGCTTTTTGACTGGCCCATAATCAGCTTGAGGAATGATCTAATACTCAGCAGCTAATGGCAACTCCTGTGACAGCTCGCCTTTCTGGAAATTAATTTGGCCTTTTTCACCGGCTCGCCCCGCTGACTAACACACTCCTCTCAATCTCTCTGCAACACAAACACACTCACACACACTCAAACAGACAACCCATTCCTTTTTAACTCTTTTCTTTTAGTGTCACGATTTAGATTATAGGTGCCTAAACGTTTTACCATGAAGGGCCAAAAACTTTAATAAGGTAAGGGGGGGAAAGTACATTTTCTTCAAGTACATATCTGTTCAAAAGTTTTGGAAGAATATGCAGGAAAAATAAAGTGTACTGAGTGTGTACATTAGTAAGTCCCAGTCCCAACACTGAACTGACTTGAGCTAATTAATGACACTGTTGTCTTTTAGAGCTGTTTTACAGCAGAATTTGAACTCTAGAGTCTCTATAGTTTAGTTTCCATAATTGATTCCACTTCCCTGTTTATCTCTGTGAAGCTGATTTTACACAATATGTAAGTGCCATAGAAATAAACCGGTTTCTGCAGGTTTTGTGAAGGTAAATTTAAAACTTTAAAGGGGTGGTTGACTGGGATTTTCTAGGCTTGATTGTGTTTATGGGGTGCAGTCTAACATGTGTTCATGCTTCGTTTTTTAAAAAACACATTCTTTTTCACATAATTTTCCTTTATTCCACACCGATCTGTCCCTTCTCTAACAAACGCCTCGATTATTTCCTGTTTTTATGAAGCCCCTCCCTCAGAAATACGCGATGGGCTGAGATTGGTCAGCTGGCTCAGTGTGTTGTGATTGGCTAAACTGCCTCTAGAGCGCGTCTGAACATCCCGCCCCTCAAGCTCAGAATGTGCTTCGGTTGTATTGTAAACAATGACGTCCTCTATATTGCTTATCAATTTGAGCCCAATTGAGATGCAGAGAATATTAATGAAGAGGATCGCACAGAAGAGAGAGATGCAGAGCAGGGCGAGGCCAGGAACAGGATGAGAACGCTGCTTTAGAACATTGGTTTTGAAACTTGTGAATCCATTAGAATCGTTAGAAGACAGAATCGCGATTCATGTATGAACAGATTTTTACATGCACCTCAAGTTTTCTCTTCCTCTTCTCTAAAGCAGCGCAGCATGGCCTCGCCCCCTTTGCTGCGTGTTCCCGGGGGCGGGGTTTATCTGGGTTTGTGACGTAACGGACCCGGGAAGAAGCTCATTGTAGTCCCTTACCAGCCATTTTTGTAGGCATTAAACTGCCAGAATTTTAAAAGACGATATCTCCGTTTGCATTGAACTTTCAGCGCTGCAACTTTGCAGATATTGTTTAAGCTCAAACAGCAACATTACACACTAACTAGCGTTAAAAAAAAGTGAAATCGCAATCAACCACCCCTTTAAGATCAAGTAAAGAAAGTAAATCAAATCACAAAACCCAAATTGAAAAACAAAAAAAAGTGAGGTTATCATTAAAACAAGAAATATCTGCCAATAGCGAAAACAAGTTTAGGGAAACCATAAAAATGGGAAAACAAGGCTTTTTTTGCAATGCATGCAACATTTAATGCATGACTCCTCTACCTTTTGAAGGCCTCAATTTGTGAAAGTCTGAATGAAGGCTTTAAGACCTTTTTAAAACCCGCAGAAACTGTTTTATTTACAAATTTAAAAAAAAAAAAAATTTTTTTGCAGTGTAGTTTGCAACAAGTAACCAAGATGACAGAACATAAACAGACATAAGTTTCTTACCCTCTTTGTCATCGTGTCGTATGATGGTGTCCTGGATGACGTCTGAAAGCGTGAAGCTGATTCTTTGTTTTTTGCGGTTGGTGGACCGGGGCTTGGGGAAGCTCTGCTTCTGTAGCGTCCGCTCGCGCTCGTAGTAGACCCTCAGCTGCTCGCAACGCATGCGTCTGACCAGCCTCTGACGCTGGCCCAACGGCAGAGACTCCAGCAGACACTGGTCTATCTCCATGTTCTGCCTGAACACGTTACATAGCTGAAAACAACCTACACAGAGGGAAAGAGGAGAGGATGTGCAGATGGTTGAGGTAAGAGATATGAGGGAAGAGTGGAAGAGGGAAGAAGGAATAAAATCAGTTAACAAATACATAGCATTTATCTTTTCAATAAAAGTTCTTTAATATATTTGTCAAGGTAAAGAGTGCCTTCAGATATTTCTTTTTTAAAGAAATATAAATTATTCACAAATATCATCAAATGTTTTGGGATTCAAATCACACCACATGACATTTTACAACCTGAACTAACCTTGCTTTGTCATAAACCGGTCTCTCTATCTATAACTTATCTAATATTTTAAGAGACATATTGACCTTGACACACAGTCATGTGTCTCCAGGGCTCCTCTCCATGATATCATTTCCCCTTTTTTGGGGGTGGGTCATTAAGGTTTGTTAATTCGAAAATTAATACTTTTCTTCAATAAGGAGTCATTAAATTGATCAAAGGTGACTGTAAATACATGTATAAAATACAAATGATACCAAGCATTCTGAATCAATCCTGATAAAACGGTATCACAGTTTGCACAAACATATTAAGCAGCACAACTGTTGTCAACATTGATAATAATAAGAAGAAATGTTTCTTGAGCAGCAAATCAGCATATTAAAATGATTTCTAAAGGATCATGCGGTGAAATTTCAGCTTTGCCATCACAGGAATAAATTCCATTTTAAAATATATCCAAATAGAAAATAGCCATTTTAAATTGTAATATATTACAATATCACCGTTTTCACTGTATTTTTAATTAAAGAAATGCAGCCTGGGTAAGTAAAAGGGACTTCTTCAAAAGCAGCTTTTGAATGGTAGTGTATTTGGTCTAAGAAATTATACAGTTTTTTAGCATGATTGAAGCTTAAAATAGCAATTTATGATTATTAATATCAGATTTTACTGTATCTTAAAATGTTACTGATACGTAATCTTGTCAAAAAAGTCTATGCTTCATCCAATCTGACGGCTTAGTGAAACGTAATTAATTTAATTATAATTTTGATAAATGTAATTCTGCTTTGAAAATGTGGCACTTTTGTCACACTATTTTCATCATACTATATTTGGGATGTACTAATTCTACTCTAGCATACTATATAGTACAGACAGTATATTAATTAGCATGCAGTCTTTATCTCCTCTGCTTAACCACTAAAGTCAGGATAAGACTGATGCCAGATAGACAGGTATGTGTATTTCTCAAAGCTCAGTCCATTCAAATCTTATCTGGCACACTCTGCTAGCGTGTCCGTTTAACCTTGAGAGAGCTGAGACTCCACTCACGGCACTAGACTCAATTATCATGACTCTGCATTTCTCCTGCAGTAGCATGGAACAAAGCCAATGCCATCCTGTACACGCACTGTAAAGAACTGCTGAACGCTCTAGGATCTGGAAGGGGCTGTAAATAAAAGGAGAAAACTGTACCCACTGAGATTGAGGTTATTGTAGGGCATTTATTAAACAATTAGTGGCATGAACCTCCAAGAGAACACAATTAAATAATTGGGTAAATTATGGAAATATGGAATAACAAACACTGCATGATGATTAAACTTAATCCATTATTAACACAGAACTATATGTCCAAGCAAACAAATTGATGCAGCAGCCACTAAACAAACTGAATCCACAGTACACAGAAAGTGTCTCAACCCGTGGTCAACTTTGATGCACCTTCATGAATTCTTCAGATATGACATCTCTGCTGTTGAGTTTAACTTTTATTATTATATAGTAGAGAGATGATAGGTAATTGGTGAGGAAAGAGAAAATGTGCTCTGAATGTGATGCTAAAATAAGTTCAAATTTCACTCACAGACACAAGTGGATGTATTCACCATTTACATTTAAAAGGACATTTTTATGCTGATAAATAATTAAAGGTTTAAAATGTTTGCGTCAAACTGGCTGCCCTTCTCCTCAAGGTTCGTTTGCTGCAATCACAGAGCTGCTCAATCATTCTCTCACACTTTCCATCTATCCTCAGCCTGCAGCTGAGCCAGCGCCAGCCACACACATCATGCATTATGAAGTCACTCACCACCCACCTCACCCGGAGAGAGATGAAGAAGAAATATCTACAGAGAAGATGAGCTCATGTTAGAAGAGAGGCTGAGTGTGTGAGATCTCCAACTAAAAAAAAACTTTGGATGAATTACAAGGAGTTTATTTGACCTTGCTGACGCGGCCGCTTCTATCACGGCAATCACACGCACATCAATCCCCTCCCTCGAGGCGGTGTTTCAGGAACGACAGCAGGAAGAACGGCTTCTCTCTCTCCCTCCAAGACACGGCGTTGTGCAAATCTGTAATTACGCCGATAATTCAGGTCACCAGAAGCCCTTCAGCCAGGGAAATAAAAGTTTGAAAGTCTGCCTTTGTAGACAAATTAAAGAGGGAGCTCTTTCTGCCCTCTCTCTTCTATTCACACACCCACATTGTGTCATAATGTTTCACATGCCTGTTAAACAGCCAAAAACCCCACTGACAATACTGCACCTTTCCCAGGGTCACAATGCCAGCCATCATATTTTATTCTATTCTATACATGAAACGGCTTCTGATGAAGACACAAGGATCAGTTCTATACAGTCAACTGAACCCATCGTGACAGAAATGATCTGTTCTATTCTATGAACAGCATATGATGAGGACAGAAGAATCTATTCTATCCATTGTCATACAATATATCGTGGTCGGTAAGATTTTTTAGTGTTTTTGAAAGAAGTCTCTTATGCTCAGAGGCTGCATTTATTTGATCAAAATAGTAAACAGTTACAATTTAAAAGAACAATAACAAGAAACTTTTGGACTGTAGCATCATTAAAACCATATATTCGGTTTTATTCAAAAAACAGCTTCCAATGAAGAAAGACCCTTCTGTTTTATTCATTTAACAGAATCATCAGACATCATCGGTTCTATTAATGGAACTGCTTATGATCAAGACAAAAATATCTATTATTTTCTGTTCCATTTGTGACCCTGGACCACAAAAGCAGTCTTAAGTCGCTGGGGTATATTTCTAGCAATAGCCAAAAATACATTGTATGGGTCAAAATGATTGCTTTTTCTTTTATGCCAAAAAATCATTAGGATATTAAGTAAATATCATGTTCCATGAAGATATTTTGTAAATGTTCTACTGTAAATATATTAAAACTAATTTTTTTTATTAGTAATATGCATTGCTAAGAACTTCATTTGGACAATTTAAAAGGCAATTTTCTCAATATTTAGATTTTTTTGCACCCTCAGATTCCAGATTTTCAAATAGTTGTATCTCGGCCAAATATTGTCTTATCCTAACAAACAATACATCAAAGGAAAGCTTATTTATTCAGCTTTCAGGTGATGTGTACATCTCAATTTCGAAAAATTGACCCTTATGACTGGTTTGTGGTCCATGGTCACATTTATTGATTCAACAGAACCTCTTCTGTCATCAGTTTTTCAAAATTATGTGAAAAAGAATGTGTTTTTAAAAAAACGAATCATCATCTGATGAAGACAGCAATATATATTCGATTCCGTTCCATTCATTTAACAGAACTTGCACAAATTATGTATTCTACTATATTCTACTAATAGAACTATCACATATAAGGTCAAAAATCTATTTAATAGAACTTATAGTGTTTCCCAACCTTGTTCTTGGAGGCACACCAACAGTGCCTTAAATTTTTGGAACTCCTCCTAATCAAACACACCCGAGTTGGTTAGTAGAGGTCAGATAAAGCAGTCATCCAAAATGTGATCTGTTGGTGTGCCTCTAGGAAGAGGGTTGGGAAACACAGCCTCAAAAGGCAGAACTCTATTCCATTCTAGAGACAGATGGAACATGGAATGTGATGTGAACAACGGAAATTAAAATTCTGTTAGACAAAATGTCCATTCCACAACCTGTCCAAACTGCTTCTCTCAAAGTCCTTGTCCGTAAGAACATAAGAGGTCAGGCACATAACATTTAAAATGGCAATTTGATGTAATAGACTATGGGGACCTTTTATAGCTGTGAGTGAAAGTAGTGTTTCAGTAACCTAATTTGACTCCTAAACCATAAAAATGGAACACGACTGCTGAGCTCTACTGGATCTCCAGGTCAATAGTGAAGAAAATGCATTAACATACTTAAACTTCAAAAGACAATGGGCCTCATTCATGAAACATTCGTAAATATAGGAGTACATTCTGAGTAATTTGCGCGTAAAACGGACCTTCCCGAAAACTCTCCTCCAAGTTCACAAACACTTCATACACATCAGATTTGATCGTTAAACATGTGTATGTTAATGAATTCCAATAATTTGTAAACAGGGCGCTTGTGCACGCTCATTCACAATTAGCATAATCCCCCCCTATGAATTACAGCTAGCAAATTGCTTGTCCAGGAACGCAGTGGACTATTCTGGTCTACTTTCTCAGGTTTGGCTCCAGTATATTGCATAAATGCAAAAAAAGACTAATAGGCCATATGCCTAACAATAAATATTCAAAAATGTCAGGTGCTCTTCTTACAACGGCCAACTGGTGGCACTGGAGAACGCTTTGGTGGCACAGCGTTTTTCTAGCTGAGACACGCTGGTTGCTATGATTTGAAATCCACGGCAGTAGCGTATTACTAGCATCTCATTTTGAAGAATATTACGGAATATAAAAAAGCAGTAACCAGCAATATTAACTTCTCTATTGTTGTTCAGTTGTTGTACAAGTGGTATGATTGGATGGCTGGGTAAAAAGTGACCGTGACAAGCGCTGTGTTTTATCCAAAGCTAAACAGTTTATCAACTCTCAGCTACAAAAAAATTATAAGTCCGGCCCAACGACCTTGTAAAATATTATAATGGCAGTGCATCAAATTCAGTGTCATCAGTTTGCCTAAATGAACACAGAACGTTTTATGCACCATTTACACGTGGTAGGGAGCAGGTGTAAATTTCTTTCCTACCAACTAACATTTTGAAAATGCGAACATTTTTATGAAT